TCCTCACTCTTTGGGGGAAGTTGTTGTGGTTTTTTAATCTGGAAAAATAGTACTCATGCCCCATCAACAGGGTAAAAAAGGTAAATTGCAGTATATCTGTATAGTGGGATACTGCATAGCATAAAGAGAAAAAATGAACTGTTGATACATGCAGCAACATGATTTATCTCAAGATAGTTATACTGAGCAAAAGAAACCGTACACAAAGTAGTACATTCCATTTTATGTAAATAAATGTAAATATTCCCTTTATGTAAAACTCATGAAAATGCAGGTATAGTAGCAGAAAATAAGTCACCGGCAATGGGGTGGGAGGGTGGGGGGACAAGGGAGTAAGAACCACAGGGGCATTGGTGGAATGGTAGATACACTGTCTTTCTTTATTTCTTTTAATCCTGACTTGAGGATTTTTTCATTGATTTTTAGAGAAAGTAGAAGAGAGGGGAGGACAGAGAGAAATATCGATGTGAGAGAAACACATTGATTGGTTGCCTCCTGCAAGAGCCCCGAACAGGGCCTGGGAGGAGCCTGCAACCTAGGTACCAGCTCTTGAGTGGAATTGAACCCAGGACCCTTCGGTCTGCAGGCCGACACTCTATCCACTGAGCCAAACCAGCTAGAGCTAGACACACTATCTTGATCATAGTGACAGTTTTTTGGATCATGTAAAAACGTCACATTGTACACAATATATGCAGTTTATTACAAGTCAGTTATACATCCATGAGGCTGATATTTATCTACATATATATTTATGCTAGAGGCCCGGCACATGAAATTTGTGCACGGGGTACAGTCCCTAGGCCTGGCCTGAGATCAGGGCCATCTTTCCCGGCTGCTGGCTCCGCCCACCACTGCCACCCACCCCCGGTTCCCTGCTTACCATCAGGCAATTGGAGCTTGCTGGTTGGGGGGAGGGACCAAGAGGTTGGCCATTCCCGCCCGCTCGCCAGCCCCGTCCCCGACACCAGTCGCCCTCTGTGTATGAGGCGACCCAGAAGGGTCGGGGCTTGGCCTGGCACCACTTGTGTCTGCCGCCACCACCCCCAGTTCGCCATTCCCCATCGGGCGATCGGGGCCTGCGGGATGGGGGCAGCTCCTGTGTTGATCATCTGCCCCCTGGTGGTCAGTGCACATCATAGCGACTGGTCGTTCTGTCATTAGGTCAATTTGCATATTGCCCTTTTATTATATGGGATATAAAACATCTGGAGGCTCTCTCTATATATATACATTTATATATACATATATTATGGAGGGGACTCATATATTAAAAGAGACTTACTTGAGAGGCATAGCAACCAAATGCAGTGTTTGGACTTCATATTCTGATTCAAACAAGCTAACTATAAAAAGACATTCTGGAGACAACTAGGAAAATTATAGTATAGTCTGAGTATTTGATGAGGTTGATTGATTATTGTTAATTTTGTTAGATAAGACAGTGACACCAAATGAAAGCCCTATTGTTAAATATCGTGAAGGCTTTATACGTGAAATTATACAAGCTTGTGATGTGCTTTGAAAACCTCTCATACAATAAAGAGGGAGAATAGCTGAAAAATATAGATAAAATAATGATCATTGAGGCTGGTTTGTGGGTGCAAAGAAGTTCATTAAATTATTTTCTTTGCATATTTTTAATTACCCCTAATTTTTTTATGTTTTTATGACTTTGTTTATCCTCAGGACAGAACCCAAGGTGTTCCTCCTTTGATCCCCACAGTGTAGAATCTGGCTATGTGTCAAGTGACCATTTGTCCCCAGGTCGTTTGCACCGATTGTCCCGGGTAATTATTAGTAGGGCCTCTGACTCCCAAGCATTCTAATCTGAACAGTGAATGATGCTCAGCCTGGTTGTGTTGACCTGTAACTCCCTTCACGTGCCCGCACGTCACACTGTCTGTCTTCACTAGGTTCTTCCTTGTCGGAATCGCCCTGGTGACCCTTATGCTTTTCCTTATCTGACTCCTTCCTGCCCGTTTTCCCAGCCTGACCTCAGGCGGCATTTCCTCAGCGCCTCCCCTGCACGGCTCCTCGGCCCTCTCCCCTCGGGCCTGCCTCAGCGTGGCGCTGCCATGCTCCGAGGGCACACGCTGTTGTACCAGGCTGGCCCCAATTCCGTTTGCTTTGCGAGATCAGAGGTCCACTGTCTTTTCATCTTTGGGTTCTTCGTATCTGGCAGTGCTAGCTCTCAATGCCTGGCAAAATGTTGCATCAGTCCAGCCTTAGAGATTCTCTGACTTAACCCTCTCGGACAAATGAAAATGACTCAACCCTGGAAAGGTAAATAGACCTTCCTCAGATGACAGAGCACGGAGTGACAGAGGCAGAAGTAGGATTCATGACCAGGTCCTTCTCCCACCCGGGTAATGTGATGAGCTATTTCACAGAGCATTGGAGGTTTCCTTTCACCAAGACGGAGCTTAAACATCTAACAGTGGGCGTCCATGGAGCAGAATAAAAAAACTATTGGGAGCTCTGACATGTAAACAAGTAGATTTTGATAATGCTGGAATATTCCCAATGCTTATTGAATACAAAACGCAGTAGTGATTATGCCATCTGGCCCTTTAGCTACATTCCCTTTTTAATTATTCAACCAGAATACTGAATCTATAGGAAAACTGCCAGTTTCTCTAACTTTTAATTCTCTTTTAGAGCCCTCTCATATGCTGTGACATGGAGAGTGATGTAGATAGGGACTTTATACATTTAATTATTTTAAAGTAAAGAACATTATTCAGAGCTCTTGCACTTAATGTCTACTTTTCTTTGCAATGTCCATAGCGTCGTCTTGGAGATGCAGCCAAGAAAGCCATCAGCAAATTGACAACCAGAACAGTGAAGAAGGGTGATAAGGTACAGTAATGAAGTAACTTTAACACTATTAAAACAACAATGTAGATTTGCTTTTGATTTAGTGGGAGAGAATATATCAATTGTGTCTCATTTGTTAGTCTATACTCTAATGCTTTATTTTAAACTAGCTTCTCTTTGAAATCTTAATATTTTTTTATATTTTTTTATTGATTTCAGAGAAGAAGGGAGAGAGAGATAGAAACATCAATGATGAGAATCATTGATAGGCTGCTTCCTGCACGCCCCACACGGGATCAAGCCCGCATCCTGGGCATGTGCCCTCATCAGGAACCGAACTGTGACCTCCTGGTTCATAGGTCGACATTCAACCAACTGCTGAGCCACACCAGCCGGGCTGAAATCTTATTCTCACTATGCCTGCCATTTGGAGACCCTCGTGTAGTTCTCTACCTTTCCTGGACTGTAAATGCGCTTGCTATTACTAGCTTACCGATGACTTACAGTTACCTTACTTAGGGTATTCAACAACATTTTCTTCTGCAACACCTAGCATCCTTTTGGGAAGAACTCTGATGGAGCTGTTTATGCACTAAGTAGCCAGGAACATGTGTTGTCTTGCTCTACTTTCTTTTTTTCTTTTCTTTTTTATTGAATTTATTGGGATGGCACTAGTTAACAAAATTGTACAGGTTTCAGGTGCACAATTCTGTAATACATCATCTGTACACTGTATTGGGTGTTCACCACTCTAAGTCAAGTCTCTGTCCATCACAGTTTATCACCCTATACCCTCCTCTATCACCCCCAACACTGCCCCCACCCTGGCAATCACCTCTCTGTTGTCTGTGTCCATACGTGTTTCTTTTTTCTACTCAATCCCTTCACCCACCCACAAGCTGTCAGCCTGCTCTGTACGATGAGAATGTCTATTGTAGTTCATTTTGTTCGTTAGATTCCACATATGAGTGAAATCATGTGGTACTTGTCCTTCTCTGACTGACTTATTTCACTTAGCGTAATGCTCTCCATGTCCATCTATTCTGTTGCAAAGGGTAAGATTTCCTTCTTTTTTACAGCCAAGTTGTATTCCATTGTGTAAACATACCACAGCTTTTATTTTCTTACAGTCTTTTGTATTTCTTTGGTGTCAGTTGTTTCTTCCCTTTCATTTCTGATTTTAATTATTTGAGTCCTCTTTTTTTCTTGATGAGTCTGGTTAAAGGTTTGTCAACCTTGTTTATTTTTTCAAAGAACTAACTCTTTGTTTCATTGATCTTTTGTATTTTTTTAATGTATTTTTATTGATTTCAGAGAGGAAGGGAGAGAGAGAGAAAGGTAGAAACATCAATGATGAGAGAGAATCACTGACTGCCTCTTGCACGCCCCCCCACTGGGGATCAAACCGGTGACTTCTTGGTTTCTGGGTCAAGGCTCAACCACTGAGCCACATTGGCCAGGCTGAATTTTTTTTTAGAGTCTATTTTGTTTATTTCTGCTCTGATCTTTACTATTTCCTTCCTTCTACTGACTTTGAGCTTTATTTCTTGTTCTTTTTCAAGTTTCTTTAAGTGTAAAGTTAGATTGTTTAGTTGAGCTTTTTCTTGTTTCTCTTTTTTTTAATATATGTTTTTATTGATTTGAGAGCAAGAGGAAGGGAGAGGGAAAGAGAGAAACATCTATTGGCTGCCTTCTGCACAACCCCTCCTGGGCAATGAGACCACAACCTGGCCGTGTGCTCTGACCAGGAATCGAACTGGAGATCTCTCAGTACACGGGATGATACTCAACCAATTAAGCCACACCAGCCAGGGCAAGATTGTTCTTGTTTCTTTTTTTTTTTTCTTTTTTTTTTTTATATATTTTATTGATTTTTTACAGAGAGGAAGGGAGAGAGATAGAGAGTTAGAAACATCGATGAGAGAGAGACATCGATCAGCTGCCTCCTGGGCAATGAGACCACAACCTGGCCGTGTGCTCTGACCAGGAATCGAACCTGGGACCCTTCAGTCCGCAGGCCGACGCTCTATCCACTGAGCCAAACCGGTTCCGGCTGTTCTTGTTTCTTGAGATAGGTCAGTAATGCTACCAATTTCCCTCTTAGGACTGCTTTCCCTGTGTCCACAGATTTTGGGTTGTTGTGTTCTCATTTTTATTTGTTTCAGGGTTGTCTTTTGATTTCTTCCTTGATCTCACTGTTAACCCATTCATGTCTTTGTATGTTTTTCAGGTTTTTTTGTGATTGATTTCTAGTTTCATATCATTATGGTCAGAAAAGATGCTTGTATCCTAGTATGTGGTCTATCCTAGAAAATGTTCCATATTCCCTTGAAACGAATGTATATTCTGCTGCTTTGGGGTGAAATGCTCTGGAAATATCAATTAAATCCACCTGATCTAGTGTGTCATCTAAGGCCACTGTTTCCTTGTGGATTTTCTGTCCAGGAGACTTATCCATTGATGTCAGTTGGGTATTGAAATCCCCTGCTATGACTGCATTGCTGTTGATCTCTCTCTTTATGTCCATCATGATTTGCCTTATATATTTAGGTGCTCCTATGTTTTGGTGCATAAATGTTTATGGGGATTATATCCTTTATCATTATACTAGAGGCCCACTGCGCGAAATCGCGCAAGACCCAGACCCGGTGAACCGTGGGACCCAGCGTCAAGTCCCCACCCACCCATGTGCGCCTCACCGCGCACGCAGACCCGCCCACCTTGAAGACAGTTGTGGACGGAGATAAGAATAGTTTCCTGCCCTAACCGTTCCTTCTCAGGAGCACTTAAATTGACCTCCGTTAGAAGATGAGAATTGAACAGAGCAACACTTCCTTGTTCCCATGAAGAAATTATATGACGTTCAGCAGGTGTCTTTGGCGTTTGGTCGTTACGGTGTGATGGTGCCATGGCCACGGGGGTTTTATAATAGAGATAGTGACCTTCTTTGTATCTTACTATAGCTTTTGTTTTAAAGTCTGTTTTGTCAGATATAAGTATTGATACTCCAGCTTTTTTTGCCCCTGCCATTTGCGTGAAATATCTTTTTCCACCCCTTTACTTTTAGTCTGTGTGTGTCTGTTGTTCTGAGGTGGGTCTCTTACAGACAGCATATATATGGGTCTTGTTTTCTTATCCATTTAGCTACCCTATGTTTTTTTGTTTGTTTGTTTGTTTGGAGCATTTAAGCCATTTACATTTAAAGTGATTGTTGATAAGTACATATTTATTGCCATTTTATTTTTCTTTTAGTCTTCTGGTTTTTCTTCTTTTTAAAGCAGGCCCTTTAACATTTCTTGTAATACTGGTTTGGTGGTAACAAACTCCTTTAGCTTTTTCTTTTCTGAGAAGTTTCTTATTCTTTCTCCTTCAATTTTAAATGATAGCCTTGCTGGGTAAAGCAGTCTTAGTTGTAGGTCCTTGCTTTTCATCACTGATGTTTCCTGCCAATCCCTTCTGGCCTGAAATGTTTCTGTAGAGATCAACTAACTCTCTTTCTCCTGCAGTTTTTGCTATGCTTTCTCAGACTTCACCAGGTCTCCTTTGTGTTTATTTCTTTAACATTACATGGAAACCTAGAGGTCCAGATCTCAGGGGAGTCTCGGTTAACAGCCCTGCTTCTGCTCCGTGAGGACAGAACAGCAACTTAAACTTAGACCCTGATGCCGTACAGTCACTGTTACCTAGAATGAAAAAAATTGCATCTCCGGAAGCATAGAGCCCAATCACCTTCTGCCCCGCACCCACACTCATGTTTCAGCGAAGAGCTCTGGAAGGATCATTCAGCTGTTGTCCAACCTCGGTTTTACCACCGCATTGCCTGGACTCCCTTTTATTCCTATTGCCTTCACACCACCACATTTGATTTTTCATGACGCAGCTCCTGAAGGTGGAGACATTGTCAGTAAACTTTACTGTACACTCGGGAAAGAAAAGAGTAAAGCCACTGCAGAAAATGTAAGCAGCATGATAACAGCTGCACTGTAACCTGGGCGCTCTCTTGGCCTGGTCTTCAGCTGCCACATTAATTTCATCCTGCCTTGCTTCTCAGGGTAGCACAAAGCACTCCTTCCTCGATAGAACCAACACCTCTTCTCAGTGTATGTCTTCTAGACCTGCCACGAGTTCACCCCTGAGTTCCAGTCCGCGTGGCGGTGACAACAAACAGTGTCACCTTTCCTGGCTTAGGTTCTTGGAAATGCTCTGTTTAATGACAAATCAGGGAAGCCCGTCCCCAAACCAGAGCAGGAAGGACATCGTTGTTCTGGATGACCCAATACCTGGCTGAGTCTGGATAAAGACCCAGTATCAAGGGGAGCCTGAGTTTTCTACCCCAAGTCTGCGGCCATCCTTGGGGCGGGCTTCTGGAGAGCCAGCTTCTGGGGCTCGTCGTCTTCTCTGCCTGCACTTAGCCACAGGCGACTCCTGGTGTGCGGTGGCACCTCCTAGACCAGAATAGGATGCAGCGGGACTGGGGAAGGAGATGGGAAAATGGCCAGGGTGACAGCTCATTTGAATCTTTAAAAAAATTAGAATTCGCCCTGACCGGTTTGGCTCAGTGGATAGAGCGTCGGCCTGCGGACTGAAGGGTCCCAGGTTCGATTCCAGTCAAGGGCATGTACCTTGGTTGCGGGCACATCCCCAGTAGGGAGTGTGCAGGAGGCAGCTGATCGATGTTTCTCTCTCATCGGTGTTTCTAACTCTCTTTCCCTCTCCCTTCCTCTCTGTAAGAAATCAATAAAATATATTTTTTTTAAAAATTAGAATTCGGGGGGCGAAGGGGGGATAGAAGAGGGTCTGGGGGGTAAACAGTGAGGGACAGAGACTTGACAGGGTGATGAACACAATACAGTGCACAGATGATGTGTTGTAGGGGGGAATATTGGAATTCTGACTTCTAAGATATTACACAAACAGAATTAGTATGAATTGTTACCACATAGTATAAAGACAAAGTAGGTTGGTGTAGATATAATTTGGGTTGATAAAGTTAAGCAAATAGAAACATTGAACTGTTTTTATAACCTTTCACTTTATAATCACTCGTTTCCTCGAGTTGCCACAGGAAGGTTCTTGTCTGAATTGTTTCTCCTCGTTTATACATTTTTCGCTGCAGCGTGTGACTTTGGTTCCTATGCTTTGCGTTTCAGGAAACAGACCCAGACTTCGATCACTGTGCCGTCTGCATAGAGAGCTATAAGCAGAATGACGTTGTCCGGGTTCTCCCCTGCAAGTATGTCAGCCTCCTCGGTTTAACAAAACAGGGGTGGTGGCGTGTATGTCTCCCTCGGAGTGGGGATGCGGCTGCTTTCCGAGCCGCCTGAGCCGGGCTTTCCTGCAGGCGAGGCCGCTGCACCTGCACGGAGCGGGAGCTGCAGTCAGTGGCGAGCTGTGCTGCCGGCCAGAGCTGATTGCACAAGGTTTCTCTGGTTATGAGAAACACAGGGGCACGACCTCTGGCCACTTCTGTAGTCTAGAAAGCACGAAGGTCAAAAATACTTAATTCTGTGAATTCTGTGGGTTTCAAAACTAGCCACCATTCCTCTCCTTGAATCATTGCACGCCCCTCGTCCCTCTGATAATGCCTCCGCAGTGGGCGGGGTGCCAGAGCCTAGGGACCTCGGTTGTCCTTTTCTGAACCTGGTCATGCAGAGGGGGCTGGATGGGCGCTGCATGCCGTCTCCGGGTCAGGTGCTCTGCTCTGTGCAGGTCACGTGTCCAGTCTCCTGTAAGGGGTCAGTGTTTTCTCCCCATGGAGGGTAGTGAAGCCAACAGTACCTGCCAATGCCATGCTATTCAGAAATGGCTGAGCTGCCCAGCCAGTGTGGCTCAGTGGTTGAGCGTTGACCTGTGAACCAGGAGGTCAGGGTTTAATTCTTGGTCAGGGCACATGCCGGGTTGTGGGCTCAATCCCCGATAAGGGGACATGCAGAAGACAGCTGATCAATGATTCTCTTTCATAATTGATGTTCCTATCTCTCTCTCCCTCTCCCTTCCTTTTGAAATCAATAAAAATACATTTTTTTAAAAAGAAGGAATGGCAGAGCAGCTACGGAGGTCTGCTCAATGCTGGGCCCCTGGCACAGGGCAGACCTGTCTCAGAAGGAGGTGTGCACCTGCACTTCGGTGCCTAACAGGAGTACGTTCTCTGTTAGCGTGTCAGTCCCTGCATGGTGCTCCCCATGCCTGGGAATGTGAAACATGAAGATACACAGTCCAACTATTGATTGGAAGAATAGGGAAGTACCTATTGAGAAGCCTAAAATCAAAGTTTTTTTCTCTTCCTTCTCCCTTGCTTTATAACACATTCCCACAACCCCGCGCCTCTAATAATGCCAGATGGGAATGAATAAAATAATTAACAGGGGTTGTCTCCATGAGCTACTGGTATTTTACTTATTCACAAAGTGGTCTATTTTGAGCCTAGAAATACCTGTTTTAAAAGATCATGGAACTTAAGAATACCTACTTTACATATGAAGATAAATCTATAAAATTAAATGTGAACTGTCCTATAGAAATTAAGTTATGCATTTCCAGTATTCTGTTCTATGTAGTCATTTACAGCCTAAAGCATGGGGTGAAAGCAAACACCAATCAGGAAAAGGTCGGCAGGATGCGTGGTAAAGCATGGTCAGCTGTTTCCTGCTTTTCTTATTTATTTATTTATTTATTTTGGTTAATCCTCCCTCGAAGATATTTTTTCCATTGATTTTTAGAGAGAGTAAAAGGGAAGGGAGGAGGGGGGAGAGAGAGAGGAACATCAATGTGAGAGAGAAAGAGAGGCATCAATTGATTGCCTCCTGCACGTGCCCCAACCCAGGCTGGGGGTTGAACCTGCAACTGAGCTTGACCGGGAATCAAACCCACAATCCTCCGGGTGCGCAGGCCAACGCCCTAACCACTGAACCACCGGCCAGGGCCGAGCTCTGTTTTTGGTATCAGAATTTTGGCAAACTTGACAGCATTTCTTTACACCCATAGCCAGGGCACCGCTCACTTCTGCGCTGCCCTTTCTGCATTGGAGCAGGTTGTTTGTTACACTTACATCTTCAGTCGTAGCTTCCTCCAAGCTACACTGCACACCCTGCTCAGCAAAACATGTCACCTCACTGAGATGGCAACAGTGCACGGCTCTGGGTTTAATAAAAATCAACTGCATTGAGAACATGCTGTGGGACCAAGGTGACAGCTGGCCTGGAGCCGGGTTTCTCAGCCTTGGCGTGGTGACGGGCTGGGGGGAGGGGGGGTGTTCTGTGCCCTGCAGGGTATTTAGCAGGATTCCGGCTCCAGCCCGTAGATGCCAGGAGCACTCCCCCCCCACACCCCACACCCCACACCCCGCACGTAACTGTAACCATTGTGGGTGTCTCCAGTGGAGACCGGCCTAGAGCATGGCTGCACACGTACTCATTTTTACTACAGTCTTCTCCAGCCTCCTCTTCATAGATCCCTCTCGCGCACCTTCACATGAACTCTGGTGCCGCTGCTCACTGTGCCCCTCTGCCTGGGCACCCTGCCCTTCCTCTCGGGTAGAGGTGTGACTCCGCTGCTGCTGCTTTTCACTCTTGCTGCCAGGCAGCTCTGGTTCCTCGTGCCTCCGGGTGCCGCAGAGCCCGTTCCCTGGTCGGCTCTCGCTGGTCCTCGCAGAGCGCTTCCAGCTGTATTTGTTCTCCTTAAACACCTGCACTCCTTTATTCCTCACTGTCGGCAGATACCCTCACCATCAACCTCAGAGAGAAAGCAGTGGCTAATAGTTGAAACTGCTTCCTGACCCGGCCGCCACAGCACCTGCCCCACAGCACCTGCCTCCACAGCACCCGCACAGCTCTCACGTCCTGTCTTCTGACAGCCTGTGTGCCTCCCGCCCTCCCCGGGAGCTGCTCTGACCGCTCCCTGTCTGCTCATCAGCTTCCAGGCCCTTCCTGCTCCAGTCCTCATAGCTCTCACACCCACCTCCAGACACCCCAGCAGGCTCTGCACTCGCCGTCCCCTCTTTGCCCGGAAGGGGAGAGGGAAAGCCCAGTGCTTTTGTGTCTGTCTGTCTGTCTGTCCCCAGGGTTAACCAGCCTGTGTGGAGCCTGAACTGACTCTCCGCTCTAGAGAGCACGCCTCTGGGTTGCTGGCTTGTGCGTGGCCTTTGCTTCCCACCTTCTGCCACGTTGCTGTTCTGTGGACACGGTGGTTGGTGTTGCTTTGGGACCTCCTGCTGGTGTCAGTTGGTTGCAGCTGATCATCCTTTGGATGTTAGCCAACTTGCCTTAGAAGCTGAAAAAGTTGCCTTAGACCTTTTATTTAAAGGTCAGCCACGTTTTTCATAAGATAAAAATACTCTCCACAAGCAGAGTGCTGCACTGGGGTGAACATAGGCCTGAGATGCCACTTTAAGAGCTAAAATGGGTCAGGCGTCTGGCTGCTGGCCCTGTGCTGCCCCGCCTCAGAGGGAGGCCTCCTTACCACAGTGTCTGCTGCCAGTCCCAGCGGGCAAGTGCTTGTCTCTGACCTTGAGTAATCCTGGATCCTTTTATATCTGCCAGGTTCTTGCACGGCACCGAGAGGCTGCAGAGCTGTGAAAGCAAGTCGCCTTCCCTGTAGACTCCTCACCCCAGCGTTCCGCTCACTCTAGTTAGCAGCGGGGGAGTAGGGAAGGGGGGCTCTATCCCAGGACTGTGGGTGTCGTTCCCTTCATGTGCCATGCGTTTCGCATTCTGTACCCCAAAGCGTCCGTCCGGGAGTAAAGGACTGTGCTGAAGTCTGACCTGCTTGTCCTTTCCCATGTCCCTGTCCTGGACTCACCCGCTTCCCAGCCCAGGACGCCACTCCGCCCTGAACATGGAGGGCCCTTCTCTGCTTTTGTGTGTGTTTTTATTGTTTTATTCTTTTATCGAGTCTTTTGTAACCTGGGAAGGGGCTTCTTTGCAAGGTCAGACTGGCCCCAGGTGTCCCCCCTGAGGTGTCTGGATGCTTGTGGCCACCCGCAAGCTGGCCAGGGTCACTCCGGTGCCAGGCACGCTCAGGCGCTCCGCCCATTGATTGTGATACTGTGTGAAATGTTCCTGTTCTTTTCCCTGAATGTGTGTTTAGTAACACCTTCCATTTGCACGTCCTTGATGCTGCTCTAAGTATGCCATGTGTACAGTGTTTCACTTACTGCTTCCAACAGCCCCCCTACTTCCCACCCCTCACCCCCACCCCCACCCCGCTTCCAGAGGAGACAGCTGGGAGTCGGAAAGGGCAGCTGCCCAGGTCAGACGTTGTAGGCGCAGGGCTTTGCCCGGAGGAAGGGAACAGCCCGGTGGAGCTTGTGAAACAGTAGAGCTGAGGAGATAGAGCCAGAGGGGGAGGAGAATGCTGGTGACCCCAGGAGAGGGGCGGGCTATGTCGGAATGGCCAGCGGGGGAAGAGGAAGGCTGCTGGGTTTATTTTCAGAAGAGAGGGGTGTGCTGTGGGTCGGGAGGGGGAGGGCAGCTCGCTGACGGGTGGGGGTGGGGGCTGGGAAAGCCATGGGTGGACGGACAGTCACAAGGAAAAGGTTGGGGACTTTTTAAAGAGAATATTCCTTCTGGATTTTGGCTTACCTAAGGAAGGACGGCGTTCTCAGCTTGTGCCTTGAGAGCCAGGTAGTCTTCGTTGTCCTTCGTTAGGCTGCCCCATAGCAGGGCCAACACTTCCTCTTAAATCAACAAACCCAATATAAGAGAAATCTATAACTAAGGTTTAGCAGTGGTTCTCAACCTTCTGGCCCTTTAAATACAGTTCCTCATGTTGTGACCCAACCATAAAATTATTTTCGTTGCTACTTCATAACTGTAATGTTGCTACTGTTATGAATCGTCATGTAAATATCTGATATGCAGGATGGTCTTAGGCGACCCCTGTGAAAGGGTCGTTCGACCGCCAAAGGGGTCGAGACCCACAGGTTGAGAACCGCTGGCTTAAAGGAAGAGATGATCAGGAAATACTCAGCTTTTGCAGCTTTAAAAATTAAATATGGGAAGATGCCGTTTTGTTCTTCCTGAATAACCATAATAGAAAAGAAAGGCAGGACAAAAGCGGGGAAAGCAAAAATGCTGGCGAGAGGGGGAGGCCAGAGCCAAACCATTGCTGATCCCCAGGCCACTGCTGCTTGTTTAAACTGAGGTCCCCACAAACATCTGCTCAAAGTCAGCTGCCCACCCATCCCTGGACCAGAGTGGCCTGTCAGAGGTCACCTGTCACCCGGCCAAAGTCCATTGTCCACCCCACATAGGACTGGCCTAGAGCACCTCCCACCTCCCCCACCCCCAGCACTAACCACGCCCTCACTGTCCATGGTCCTCCCAGAAACCTAGGCCAGGTGTGAGGCAGATGCCCCCTTGTAAGGGGAGGATCTGTCGTTTATGTCAAACCTAAAGGGTCTCTACCCCCTAAAAGGATTGAAAGCCTAGTTCTGGTCTCGGTTGGATGGCAGCCAGCTGGGCACAGTTGACAGCTATGGGGTGGTCCCCACTCCAAGCACGAGCACGCCCTCAGGGTGCCTGCGCTCAGGGGCCTTCATCTCCCTCGGGGAGCACTCAGACGAAGATACGAGGAGCAAGAAGCGGGCATGATGCCTTGTGAAGACCACATGTACAGGGCGTCCCCAAAATGTATGCACACTTTGAACCGTTATTAATTCCAGTGGGTTAAATCTGAAAAGGATGAAGCATGGGAATCGATAACGATCCAGAGTGTGTTTACGTTCTGGGGGACACCCTGTGCTTAGATCTCAGCTACTGTTGGTGACTTCCACCTCTTAAGTACAAACCTTCAGATTTAAATGAAAGCCTTCAGGGACCATTGGGTTCTGGTTCAGTGCATCCTCTGCAGGCTTCAGGTTAGATTGATAAATTTGTTCTTCAAGATCTTGCTTCTTACCCACAAAATGGATGCAAGGCCACCGCCTGGGCGGTGGGAGGCGGGTGTGCGTTGTTCAGGCTGAAGCTCTCAGCACAAATGGTTCTTTCAAATCCTAATTGAGGCAAAGTTTTCACAGCTCTTGTTTAAATCAAAACTGCGTTTTTAAATAGCTGAATATAACTATCAGCGAGATGCAAATTAACAAGGTTTTAAAGACACACCATGGTTCAGTTTAGTATCTTTCTCAAAATTTCTTCATCTTATCCCAAGACTCAAATTCCAGTTCCTCCAAAGGCACCTGGAATGTCTTGGTGTGGCCAGGCCCCAGCTCGTACGCCTGTCTCAGCCCTCAGAGCTGCCGCGAGGGGACTTGAGGAGGACAGTGTTTGCTGTAGCTCCCTCACGCCTTTCTCCCTTCAAGGGACACAGGTTCTTTTCTAGGAACGTAAAGCCCTCCGTGGCTGACTTATTTCCAGTCACCAGGTCGTGACTTTCTGTTCTCCTGAATAAGAGAGAATCACCTCTCCTCTCTCTCCCTTTAACATTACAGCTGAAGCTGCTAGCTAAGTGTTATCTGATTCTGAAATACAGTTCATCTCTAAAAATAGTCCCAACTACCCTGTGACTTGTGCAGCCATTTAGCATAAGGTTGCTTAGAAGTCTTTTTAAATAATGTTTAAATGACATTTAAACAGAGTTCCATGAAATGAATTAATAATTATACAGAGAACGCTTTTCATTTAACTTTTATTTAATATATTTTTGAAATTCTACTTTTCTGCTTTAACCGTTATAGAAAACATAACCGATTTAAAAAGTGTAATTCATTGTCTTCATTCTTAATTTCCTAAGTTTCCTCAAATCTTTTTTGGAATTTGGTGGAATAAAAGACCAAACAGCCAAACACTACTTATCAATTCTCATTATACAGTCTTATCGATATATAAGACTAGTGGCCTGGTGTACAGATTTGTGCACATTGAAAGGAAATTAGAAGAAATATTTTAATATCGCTATTCGCCCTTTCTCTATAGTAGAAGTGTCAGAGATGAAAGAAAATTAGTAAAATGCATATGAAAATAATATATAAATTGGTTAATAAGTAATAACATGATAGAAAAACAACAAAAACATGATATAAACACAACACTGATAAAAACAATGACTGATAAATTGATTAAACTTATTCTAATATATCCCTGTACACCACATTAAGAGTAAAAACACTTTCAGAGTGCTTGAATAATTTCCCTTGTGATGAAGTATTTATAACTTTAATATCACACGCTCTTCGAACTTGAGAGAAAGCAACATATAACTGACCATGTCCAAAAACGGGTTCAGGTAGGAATATTCCTACTCTGTCTAGATTGGCGCCAGCGAGAGCTTTATATGTATCATGCATGCGTGAGTCACCGTTTATTTTTAAATTGCCAGTTCGCTTATATATATAGATTGGACTCAGGGGCTTTTCTGTCAGCTATATGTTAATACAGTTCCTTTGCACGTGGACCTAATAGTTTTTCAGTGTATAATTTCTGATGCAATTCTTCATTTTTTTATAGGCATGTTTTCCACAAGTCCTGTGTGGATCCCTGGCTTAGTGAACATTGTACCTGTCCTATGTGCAAACTGAACATTTTGAAGGCCCTGGGAATTGTGGTACGTCGCCTGTTTTGTGAAGTATCATCTCTCAGGGTAACAACAGCACAAGTGGGCGGTTACCTCTCACGAGAAGACACTGGCTCCTTTGCCAGACGTGGTGTCCGACCACGCCTTTCTTCCAGCCCGTCTCAGGGAACTCCCACAGAGAAGGGCAGGCGCTGTGCTGGCCCCCAAGGGCGCCTGTCGGGTGGTGGGCGTGTGGGGAAGAACTGAAAAAAGGAACAGAATGTCGATGTTGGGCTTCATTCCAGTAGCAATTTTTCCTGCGTTCAGCATAACATAAAACTATGTCATCACTTCTGTTCCTTCCTCTTGAATTTGGCTTTATTCTCCTGGGCGTTGGTAAATGGCAGCAGCGAAGGTGGGCGGTGGCAGCCCTGGGCGAACCTTGACCCCCGCAGTGGCGTTGGTCGGGGCACAAAGAGCACTTCAGCTCTGGCGGGGCGAGTGGGCGCTGAGCCGCAAGGACCTCAGAGACTTCCTGCAGTTACAGTTCCTTCATTAAGAGAAGTATATAGGTAGGGTTGCAGTAGCCCCGGTGAGGTTGAGACGGCCCCGGTGAGGTCAAGACGGCCCCGGTGAGCCTGAAACGGCCCCGGTGAGGCTGAGATGGCCCCTGTGAGACTGAGACAGCCCCTGGGAAGCTGAGAAAAATACCACATAAACTCACTCATTTATGGATAATAAGAAACATTATAGATTGATGAACAAAAATGGATACAAAGGCAGAACAGCATTGAGCAGAATATCAAACTACAGTGGGAATCCTGGGGAGGGTTGGGGGGCGCGGGTAGGACATCAACCAAAAGACTTATATGCATGCAAATGAGAATAACTAATGGACACAAGACACTGGGGGAAGCCGGGGGAATGTCAAGGGGGAAGGGGGAGAAAAAAGGAGACATGTATAATACTCTTTGTAATACTTTAAGAAATAAAAAATTTAAAAAAAGAAAAGTATATATCCAGGATTATTGCTTTTTAGACACAAAAAAAAAAAAATACTCTCTGGTCTCCAAAAAAAAGAGTGAATGGATAATCTCCTTATGAGCAAAAAGTTTAGTTTGACCCAACAGACGAATCCCCATTTTAGCCTGGCAGCCCAGAGCAGGCCTAAGCACTCCTGTTTGACATACGCTCTCAGGTGACAGTCCAGGTGCAGCCCTAAAAGGGACATTCCTCCCCGTTTAGCTCTGTCTTCAGAGCTCACTGACGTAGTTGAACAGGGTTTTCAGCACCGTGGATGCTCGGACTGCCTCGCAGGGTCCCTGGCCTCGGCTAAATGCCAGGAGCATGGCCTCCTGGTCACACTATAGAAATGTCTCCAGACATTGCCAAATGTCCCTTGGGGGACAAAGTCCCCCCGTTTGTGGGGTGTAACATAGAGCTGCCATGGTGTCTGCATGTGGAAGACACTGGAAAATACTAACTTAGCCTCTGTTGTTGCCTCCAGCCTCCTTGGTTTTTTGTTTTGTTTTTAATCCTATTTCAACTGCTAATACTTTTCCTCCGTTTTTAATGAAAATCCTTCTAAGATGTATTACAAGCCACCATGGTTCCTTGTATGTAAAAAATAATAGTAATAATAAACCTAACTGTCATTATAAGCACCAGTAATTACACTGTGTGGTACTGTTTTTAGTTGGGCTTTGGGCTGATGTAGAACGAAATTATTTTGCCTAGGAAGCTATTTGTGTTAGGTTTGGTTTGCTTTGCTGTCACTTCTCTGTTTATAAGCTGCTCCTAGCCACCATTCCCAACCCTGCTTCTAATATGCCGTCTGCTATCGGCTAAAAGGATGAAGGTTGCTAGGGCAACCAAACATCCATATTGTTAAATCAGAAGACTTGCATATCCACTTGTCAGTTGGTAAGCTTTGGCTCCAAGGCAGCTCTATGCCTCTCCAGGATTAGACGCTGAGGTTTTGAAACCATTTTCTTACAGTTCGAAAGTCTTTTCAGCATTATCTGCTCTTGGTTTTAAGCTTTACTTGTGTTTAAAGGAGGAAGATATTAAAAACTGACAACTAGATAAATGGGGCATTACAGAGAAGTTACTAGGATGAAGGGGTGTTGTATGTTATCTGCTGTCCTTGAGCATTGAACCAAAGTTACACCCTTGACTGTTGGTCAGCTTTATACTAAGACTAGAGGCCCAGTGCATGAATTCATGCACAGGGCGGGGGTGGGGGGTGTGAACTGTGGGCGGTGGTTGGCCAGCTACAGGAGGTTGGCTGTGGGAGCGCACTGACCACCAGGGGGCAGCTTCTGCGTTGAGCGTCTGTCCCCTGGTGGTCGGTGCGTGTCATAGCGACTGGTCTTTCGGTCATAACGGTCGCTTATGCTTTTATATATATAGATGTGCTCTGCCTCTGAGCCACATCCACAAGGTTGTCATTTTTTTATAAACATGAAGTAATCCAATTTTCTCAGTTCTGCAATGGATTTTGGTTTTCCTTAGTACCTTTTTTGGGAGGAAATTACCTGTTTATTTTTTTTTAACTTTTTATTTTAAAGAAAACCTCTTGGGAAAAGGTAGTGGAAAAGGTAGATGGGGAGAAAAATGAGAGGAAATCATGTGGAAAAAACTTGGTGAAGTCATTTCAACACAGTGTCAAACCTTTAGAAATTGTTGTCCTTACACGTCCTTTTAATCTGGAAATATTTTGCAGCCAAATTTGCCCTGCACTGATAACGTAGTGCTCGACATGGAAAGGCTCACCAGGACCCAGGCAGTGAACCGGAGATCAGCCCTCGCGGACCTCGCCAACGACAACGCCCTCGGCCTCGAGCCGCTTCGCACGTCGGGGGTCTCGCCTCTTCCCCAGGACGGGGAGCTCACGCCGAGGACGGGAGAGATCAACATTGCAGTGACAAGTAAGTGGGCCTGTGCCCAGCGAACAGCAGGTTTGCTGCTGCTGTTCGGTGTGTTGACAGCCCGGAGGAGAGTTGAGTGAGTCACGGGACAGTGACTTAGTCTGTGACCGATGGGTCCTGCTGTTGGAGATAAGAAACTTGCTGTATGAAAGGGAGCTTGAGTGTCTGTGGAATTAAATGACGAGCTGCCCTGACCAGTAGTTGTTCAGAGGTTTGTCTCAGTAGCTGTTTAATAAGCATGTTTTGAAACGATGTGATGCAGAGAGGCATTTCAAAAGGCCCTGAGCATGGGGGAGGGTGTGACTGAGCTGCACAGCCTCCTGAGAAGCTGACCCAGAATCTGGACCTAAAAAGTCACAACTTCAGGGTTAGCTGAGGTGGCCTGTCGCGGCTCACTGTATTTCGCGCTTTGTGTGAGGTTTGGTGTTTTGGCGCTCGCCTCTTTGGTATAATTGTACGCAAGGCGGGAGAAGAGCCAGAGGGGATCTGCCTTAAATGCTCTTGGGCTCGTTGTGAACATCATCAATGCCGAACCATTGACAAAAGGGAAGCAGCCCAGGGTTTGGATGGCCAGACCTAAGTCCGTGTGAGTGGCTGGTGGGCGTGCCTGTGGCCTTGTGTCAGCTGTTTCTTCAGTTCTGTTCTTTCCTTGTTATTTTCATCTAACAACTCGTCACCCCATCTCATCACCACTCTGGTGCTGCCTTTTCCAGAATGTGCTATTGCTTGCCTCTAGCTTCAAGCCCTAAACCTAATGAGACTCCGCTTAACTCAGAGTCAGTGCAATAGTCAAGCTGTTAAGAAATATTTTCCCCTTCACATAGTAAGACTCGTGTGGACTGTTCAATTAATGTATATATGTTTCTCAGCAACCAGAAGTTATTAGAAAATGATTTGCCAGGTTTTATTCTATCATTTGTCTAAACTCAAGGAGACTTCATTTAGTTATACAATAAGTAAAACTAGCCTTCCATATGGTTTGACTCATTTCTGACCATTTCCAAGTGATTTATTTTAACAGCACTTCATATTTTTCTCTGTTGGTATTTAGGTTTTATGCTCTAGATTTTTTTAATTGATCAAGTAGTAAAAAGTTGTTGGTTTGTTAATGAGTTTTTGTAGGCCCTTCATTGATCAACATTTATTGAGCACCTACTACAACATTAAGTACTGATTATTCCATTATATTTTATGTAGAAATGTCCTTTCAAAATCGTCTATTTTGATGATAAAAGATACTACTTCATTCATCAAATTAATCACCGTGAGAAGAATTTATGCCTGTTAATAAGTAAAATTCATGTGGTTAAATCACGCCAAAGCTGCCTCTTTTTTCCCTCAAAACTCTGTAGCACCAGAGCAACTGCAGTGATTCAGACAGCGCCCACTGTGTGCAAGGCACTGTGCTAACACCCCTGGAGGTCAGAGGTGGCGAGACCCCGGCTGCAGTGGACCCTTTGCTAAAACACCCCTGAGCCCATCAGTATTGTTATGACATAGGTGTTTATTTCCTTTTGATTACTAGTTTTTATCACTGACAGCCCACGCATATATGGATGGTACACTCAGAAATCATTGAAGTTCTAAAAGTTAGTCTCCTTACCTTGTATAAAAGTCTCTAAATAGAAAAAAATTTAAATGCTGTGTTACACTTCTTGATACTGATGACCAATCATCTCTTAATTTTTTTAAATGCCATTATACATTTTTCCTAACTTAAAATATATGCGTGTAAAATGGTGCATTTTGTATGTGTTCTTGAATGTTTATTTTGACTTTAAAAAAACGTTACTCTAATGAGAAATCGATAATCGAAGGAGCAGTGGCTGCATTGTTATTTAAAAAGAATGACTTTGCCAAGTCTTTTAATAATATAAACCAAGGTGGGCAGAGAATTAAAGATCACCACTTTTAAAATCCAATGAAAGTAGAATCACCTTCTTCTAGAAAATTCCTAGAATTGCACACACTGTTGTGCAAAGTTGTAGGATTCATGAAAACCAAATTAAGAAACACCCAAGTTGCACACAACTTTTGCATATAAACAGCTGTCATTTCAAGCAGGAATCTTCTCTCTGCCTTAATGCAGACATGTAGGAATTTTACTATGTGACACTTTGTTAAGCCAGCCCTAGTCAGTGTATACTGTCGCAGACAGTTGAGAGTTCAGACTTTTAGGACGTCAGATTGGTTCTCAGGTTATTTTCAAGATTCTCAGTAAATATTGTATTTGGAAAGTTGCAATACAGACTTTGAAAAATTAGGGAAAATATAAACTGACTTTCTGGACCTAGAGTGAGACTAGATACAAATCCTTAGAGTTCTGTGTGCCAGAGGCTTTCAGCTCTGTGATGGGCCAGGTATCTTGTGAGTCACCTACCTTCTTCCTAAAGCTTGACAGAGCCAGACCAGCCAGGGCTGCTTCCAGCGCTGGGGTTGGGGAGGGCAGTCCTCGTTGGGAGACGCCAATAGCATGTGCTTTGTAAGTAAAGACTCTGAGTGACCCTCGCATAAGAGAAAAGAAGGTGGAAGTGAATGCCGCGGAAGGCCGGCCTGCGGACTGCCCACAAGACCCTTGGGAGCCACCACTCCATGTTTCTAAGCCATTCTCCAAGAATGAATGACATAACCATGCAGACGTGACAGAATGAAGAAGGAAAGGTCTCACGTATGGCTAGTCCACTTTACTGTCACTTAATTTGACAAGTGAAAAAATCGACATCCATGTGCAATTTTATATACATATTTTCACTACAGTTTTTGATGGCCACACCTCACAGACCTCAGGACCTGAACTGGAAGAAATACTTGGGCCATGCTTTCCTCTCTCCCTTGCAGCTTTCACCACTCCTTCCACTAACCTCCTCCAGTTAGTAGCTCTCTGGCAAACCTCCTCCTGCTTCACTTCCTTGAGCCAGTCTGGGCTCACACCTCCGTTGACGTCTGCGTCGTTGCTTGTGAGGGGAATGTTGACGTCGATCTGACTTAAGCCTTCTCCCCAGAGTGATTTCCTCCCTTTCCTTTGTCAACAGAAGAGTGGTTTATTATTGCCAGTTTTGGCCTCCTCAGTGCTCTCACACTCTGCTACATGATCATCAGAGCCACAGCTAGCTTGAATGCTAATGAGTAAGTAACAAATTGTTTTTTGGATTGCATGTGCCAGATCCCAGGAAAATATGTAGAGGAATTTTAATAAAGATGGTGAGAATTGGCTTTCACCCGTTTCATACTGATTCTGATGGGATCACACCTAGCAAACCCATTTATTTCAGGAACAGTCACTCAGATTGGGAGTTCACCTCGCTCAGCCACAGTAGCTCACTTGAGGAAAGATCCAGGGCTTCTCCTTAGCCACCAGTTTAGAGTGAATCAACCATGTGATGCTGATGCCACGGGAGCCAGTACAGCTGAGGATAAAGACATTTGTGTCCTGGTCACTGACAGGAACAGCCCCTTAAAGGCCATGTACCTGTCGGACGTGACCTGGAGTCTATGCCCTGAGCTTTGGGTGGAGCACTGCACCCTGGCCGAAGGTCACGGAACAGGGACGTGGATGTTTAGCCTGCAAGGAAGAGGCAAAGATGCGATCAGGAAACGGTCAGGAGTGAAGGGAGGAGGAAGTACCTGTAAGCTGTATATCCAGAGGCAAAACGAGGACCAAAGAGTAGGTTACAGGAAGGCAGATGTCACCCCGGTGACAGGAAGACTCTGTCGGAGGCTACTTGCCAGGGAGGTGGTTTGCTGTGGAGAGTGGGGAGTGCCCAGGACTCGGGAGCTGGCGGTCACTTGTCAGGGCTGCTGTAGGTGAGGTTTTTCAGAGGATGGAACATTGGGTTCGATGGCTGTTCCCGTCCATTTTGATCCGGTGATTTTCCAAGATTAGCTTTCCATAGGGTAAGATAGAAAACGGTTTTTGTTTTGTTTTGTTTGGGCATTTACTGTAGGATAACGTTCCATCATTTACCAGTATTCAGGCAAACTAATTCAAGACGGGAGCACCCCTGGGACACTGCCCAAATCTATAATAAAAGCGTAATATGCTAATTAGACTGGACAGCTGAACAACCTTCCGGACAACCTTCCAGACGAAGCCTAGGTTGCAAGGGCTGAGGCAAGCCGCCGAGGCTGTGAGGGCCAAGCCCTTGCAGAATTTCATGCATTGGGCCTCTAGTCTGAACATAAATGGTACAGGTGGGATTCATGTGCTGCCCACATTCAATTATGTCTGCCATTTCATAACCAACCAAGCTCATGTAATGGATTCAATTAATGTTCGTTGTTCAGCCTTAGAAACTATGGATAAGTAACCTCCAATTCAGTGACATGATTTTATTACCTCTCACCTGATCTGTTGGCTAGATGCTTGTAGGAAGTGCCCTTGGCATTCCTGAAGGATGACGTGTTGGGGAATGTCATAGTCAGTAGGCATTCTTCAACCTTCAAATTCTTCAGCCTCACCCAACAGGTCACCAGCTGGCTGTTTCTGTTGGGCCCGGCTGATGCAGTTTTACTTCAATGCAGCACAATGTTAACTGCCCATACTCTGGAGGCAGACATACATGAATATGATTCCCTGAGCTGGGAAGTTATATTTATCTGAAGCTCATTTTAGTCCTTCATGAAACAAGGATAATGGTAGGAGTACATCATAGGGCTGTTGTGAGAATTAGCACCTAAAGTGTTTAGCACAGTGCCTGGTACATAATTAGTGCTCAATAAATGTTAGCCCATCAATTCCACTGAGCTTTTTTAAGTTCTGTGAGTAAGACAGCCATCTGCCTTTATCATTTGGCAAATGATAAGCCATCTGCCTTTATCATTTTCTTTCATGAAATAGATTACAGAGTCATAGGAGCTCTGTGAGTGCCTGTGATTCAAACCACGGTTTGGAGGGAAATATTCATTTCACCTGCAGTCACCTCTCTTGCTTACTCCCATGCTGACCCATCAGGCTAGATGATTTCACAAATGAGTGAAAACTAGTCCCAGCAAATAGTGTGACTATGAGCACGTTTAGAAAATGTTAAAGTAATTTAATGGGTACCTTGCAGCCACTCAGAGTCGGCCAGATGCTCAGTTCATGCATCAGATACTTTAGAGAATGCTCCATAGACATGTTACCTATTAGAGATCAGAGTACCTGAAACATCACATTTCAGTTCCATGCATAGATGCCTGCATGACTTAGAATCTAAGTCATAGATCTTAGATCCATGTCTTAGTCCAACCTTTCTCCCATTAGCCTGGATACTGCAATTATTCATTTGAATATTATTTCTGTGCCTTCAATCAAAGCCATTCTGAAAGATGATTTTCATGATCCCATTTAAAGAGAGAAATTGAGAGAGTGTGAGAGAGAGTGTGGGGAGATGCATGAAAGATGGTCACCAGAACATTAATGGTGAATCTTAATTTAGTAGACTTATGGTGTTTTTCTCTCCTATTGTGCTTTTATGTGTTGATGTTTTTATAGCATGAATGACTTAATTTTTAAAAGCCTTTTTAATTGTAAGAGATAATAGTCACTCAATGTCTCTTCCCCCAAAATGTTGATGAAAAATTTTAATTCCAGAGAAAAGTTTATTTTAGCAAATAAATTTGTAAGTATTCTTCATTAATGAATTTTTTGAAATCTATCTTACTTCCCTTTTTGCCTTTACCAAAAGCTTACAACCAAAAGGAGATTGCCTTTGCAACTTAATAGTTCGCTCTTAATTTTCTAGGTAACCTCATTCATTTGTAAGATAATCTTCTACTACAGTTTACTTTTCTGACCGTGTTACACTGAACTTGTGTTGTGATTTAAGCCAGACCTAGACCCAGTCACTTGTGAAAATTTGTGAGCAAGATGCAGCAGCGCTGTCCCGCGGAAAGGGCAGGCATGTGGCACCACCTGGCGGGCCTAGGCCTCCACCCACAGGGAGGATCGCTGCCCACAGGGGTGAGCGCACTGCCATCTCCCTCACCCCCGCTGCGGGGTTACCCGGGGCTTGGCGCTACTGGCTTAATCAGAAGTCAATCAAAAGCTCATGTACCTGGGGTCACTCCCACTGTGATGAAATACTCCAGGTACTGAACCATCACTAACTGTGCTTTTTAATTTTTTTAACATTGCAAATCTAGTGAATTTTGAGACTTTGCAATATAAACAGGATAGTAGTCAAAGAAGCAAATAAACCAAGGTAAATATATTTTTATATATTTGAGTTTCATACCTCTGTTTCTTAGTACCTAAGTAAGCAAGGTTATTGAAGTTCAGTTTCCAAGGAGGTTTTCTCCTCTACTTCATTATTCAAATGAACTTTGTTAAAGCCTAGCATTTACAGGCTTATATTTGTGTCAAGCTAATTTTCTCTCAACAGAAGAAAAGTAAATACTGTCTTTTTTTTTTTTTTTTTTGAGGAACAAGTTATAAGTAAAATCTGTGGGTGATGTAGGAGAGATTTTGAGTTGAGTGGAAGGATGAGTTCGATAGTCTCTACAGCCCATTCTCAGTTCCTAGATTTGGATTCATGGAAATCATGTCCTAAAATTTGCAGAGTGTAACCCATACATTCAAGATTGACAGGCTCGGCAGGAGGAATAAGCCGGCTGTGGTTAGCATGATGAAGTAACTGGGACAAATGTCAAATCCTGTAACACTACCCCAGACCCAGCCGCCGGCTCTGCAGCAGGCCAGTGCCTGGGCTGTCTCCCAGTTCCCTTCCTGAGCCTCCTCCGAGGGTCACGGTAGAAGCATCTAGACCACATCAAAGGAATTGATGACTCTGGTTTACTCTCCACTCAATATTTCTGAATTGTTCTGCTCAGACTTTAAGAGGAGCACTGACATATCTCAATATAAAAGGGTCTGAAAATTCAAGATTTGATGTCTTGGGGAAGCTTAGCTTAGAAAAAGAGGAACCTGGGTGAGATGAGAGGTGTCTCCAGGTGCTGGAAGGATCCCAAAGATGAGAATAGCCCCTACCGAGACCGTACTCCTGCACTGGGCTCTGTTACTCCCACCTGGCCCCGTTAATACTCCGAACAGTCCCCGGTGAGTACCCGGGGCTCACAGAAGCAACACTTACTGTGACACCTTCTGGAGACATCCACAGGGAGGTAGATTTCCACTTGACGTAAGAAAGAACTTCTCAGAATTGTCCCCTGTGACAGCAGGTCTTGAAGGCTAGTGAGCTCGCCTGGACCTGCTTATCAGACAGAAGCTACAAAGCTGGAGCTGTTCAGAGGCAGGTCCTGCATCAGGCGGAAGTCTAAGATTCCTGCCGGTTCTGAGTCCCTCCTGAGCGGAGCGTCCCACGTGGGCCCTTCCCGGGAGCGGTGAGAGCGGAGGAGGGGGCGTTTTAGACCATCTCCCACTGTGAGGTCCATCCCGCACGTGACCCAGGACGGCCCTGTGTGCAGCTGGAGCAGAAATTTCACAGACGTCGTCCGTCCTCGTGCAGCACTCTCTGATCTGTTCAGTACTTGGTTGTTAATGCTGGTCGTGAGCTCGTGCATTGATGTACAGTCCACTAATAAGTTTGAAAAACTCTGATCTAAAGAACTTTGAATTTTTAGTTCTCAACTGTTTGCTCACACTAGCACCCATCTTTGTTTATTTTTCTGAGAGAGCCTTTCGTGTAACGATGCCAGCAAAGATTTGAACTTGCCCGAGCGGGTTAATGAGCCCTCTTCATCTGAGCATTGACTTTTCCTGTTGCCTCCCTGAGCCTGAGATACATACAGAGGAGTAACCTAAGGCCTATCCGGCCTAAGTGACCCTGAGAAATGGCGTAGGAAGCGGAGCCTGGCATTGAAACGGTGTCCTGGGTCAGTCCTTTCCCGGCACCGCGTGTCTCTGCTGCTCCGAAGAGCGAGCCGCTGAAGGGCTCGGGCAGTGTGGGGGCAGATGACAGATTTGGTTTTCTAAAAACATTATGACAAAAAGAATTAAAAGCAGTGGGACCTTTGATTGGACTTCTGTACTGTCTTTGGCAGCTTTTTTTTTTTTCAGAAGTACCTTTAATGTTATTGCTGCATTAGTTTATAATAAGTTTAAAATTTTTTTAATATATTTTATTGATTTTTTACAGAGAGGAAAGGAGAGGAATAGAGAGTTAGAAACATCGATGAGAGAGAAACATCGATCAGCTGCCTCCTGCACACTCCCCACTGGGGATGTGCCCGCAACCAAGGTACATGCCCTTGACCGGAATCGAACCTGGGACCCTTGAGTCCGCAGGCCGACGCTCTATCCACTGAGCCAAACCGGTTAGGGCAGTATAATAAGTTTAAAATTTTTGATTCACCGATTAAAAGTCCTCATATCTGATAGCCAGCTTTTCTGAGGAAATATTACCAAAACAATGTATCTTACACATGCACCAGAGTAATTAATAAAGCCTAGAGCTTACGTGAAGCCGCTGTGAATGGTGTTTCATTGCTCAGATGCCAGCGTGCCCTGCATGCCAGGCCGCGTGCAGGGGCCCTGGGGCCCGGCTGTGCCGCTCAGTGCCCTGCAGCGTTGGCCTGAGCCGAGCACTTGCCACCGGAGATGAGCTGGGTAGCTCAGTACCGCACAGGTGGGGTTGCACAGGCTTCCTGGAGGGAGCGACTTAGAAGCAGGCCGGGCATCATTGGGCACAAAGCGAGGAAGGGCAGAGCAGTTCAGGGAGTTGTGTGTTTGGTGTGTCTGCCGTAGGTGGCAGTGGCGGTGGTAGGCAGACTCTAGAATTTGAACGTTATTCTTGTAAACGGTGCGTAATGTGTAAGGCTTTTCAGCAAAAAGTAATTCCTGGCGGCTGAGCAGCTGCTCCAGCGTGGTAGACTGGAGGCAGGAAGATAAGGGAGGTAAAAGGCAAAATTGAATGAGGAAGTCAGGGTGATAAGGGAGGAGATGAAATCAAGAAATGTTAGCGGATTGTGTGGTAACAAAGGTAATGGTTTGAACTACGGACCTGGAACTCAGCAAAGAGAAAAGCGGGCAGAACTGGGGACCGGATTTGGGAACCTGGAAGTGAACGGGCAGCGCAGGGTGAGGAAGGAGGGCGGTCCTGGTCCCCTAGTGCCGGCTGCAGGCAGGCAGCACTCGCCCAGGGCAGTGGGGGAGCAGCAGGGGACTTGCGGTGCCTCGGGCACTGATGTAGGCACACGTACCCATGATCCGGGGAGCTCCCATAAGAGCCATACCTCCCTGGAAGTCTGTGCTCTTCACATATTATTTCAAAGTAAATAATGGCATTCTTGTTTGAGGAAAGAGGAGCATGTTTTAAGAACAACAGCGACAGATTTCAGGACACTCAGTTTGAGCGTGTGTTCAAGCCAGGAACAGTTCAGTTGTGGAGCTGTCCCCACCGTTTAAACAGGAAGCCATTAGCCTACACTGTCCCCTGCATTTCTCTGGGAATACTAACACATGCTAAGGGGACGTGGATCTGAAGCTGGTGAGTTCAGGGAAATGCCGATGGCTTAACTGGCTTCCCCGGGGGGCTTGGGAAATAGCTTGGGAAAAGCGGGGACAACCCTAGGCCACTGTCGGTTAGGATCCCTTTCTCTGTTATTTTAAAACATTGACAACTACCCTTTCACTAATTCTTGGCCTTTTTCCCTTTTATTCCATAGGGTAGAATGGTTTTAAAGAAGAAACAAACTGCTTTCTGACTGATTGCCTTGAAGGGAAAAAAAGAACCTATTTTTGTGCATCATTTACCAATCATGCCACACAAGCATTTATTTTTAGTACATTTTATTTTTTCATAAATTGCTAATGCCAAAGCTTTGTATTAAAATAAATAAATAATAAAGTGAAAAGGCTGTGCTGTTGCGTGTTATTCGCCCACTTGTGTTTGGAAGGCCAATTTGGAGGTCACATGCCCAGACTTCTGGTTCAGAGACAGAACGTGCTCGCGACTCCCCCTGGGAGGACCAGTGCCACTCATTCTGTTGGCATTTTCATGTTGGCTCCTACTGTGCCCAACTAGGTCCCCAGCCTGGGACCTTTGTGTGGTAATGCCCTTCGGGCTCTTCAAGGTCACCATTCACTCTGATCGTATCTTGTTCCTTTGTTTGTGGTTGATATCCCTCCAGCCACAACAGCAGCTCCAGGGACATGATATTGCATCGCTTGCCACTATCCACCTACCTAGTAGAGTGCTTTGCACATAGTAAGTGCTCAATAAATATTTGTGGGATGAAGGGTTAAGTGTAAGAAAAAAATCTCCAAAAGTCTTACCGATTAATAAGTCTGTCTGACTTTTTTAAACCTAGTTTTTACAGCATCCTTTTAAATATAACAAATTCTAAAAAGTTGGATGAAAGCAATTTTACATATATAAATGATATATTTTTGCTTTATTGATGAGCAAGACGTTGAAATATTTTGTTATATTGAATCATATGAGCTTGAAGAATTATCAGTCTGTGTTTCACCCGAGGATATTTTTCCATTGATATTTTTGGAGAGAGTGGGAGGGAGGGAGGGGGGAGAGAGAGAAACATCAATGTGAGAGAGACACGTTGATGTGGCTGCCTCTTGCAGGCGACCCTTCTGTGCACAGGCCAGTACTCTACCACTGAGCCACACCAGCTGGGGTCATATGTGTGACATTTTGAGCACTGAGTTCTCAGCCTTCCACCTCAGCATACCTGAGGGTGAGAACATATTCCCGTTGGTAGCAGGTTCCTTCAGCAGTCATGTTCAAATTGGTAGGCTGGGTTGAAGATTTTTTCCCTTTGTTTTGTTTTTTGTTTTTTTAGCTATAATTCACATACCATAAAATTTACCCTTTTAAAGGGTAAGCCATTCCAGGGGTTTTCAGTGTACTCACAAGGTTGTACAACCATCACAACTGTCTAACTACGTAGCGTTTTCATCACTCAAAAATGAAGTCCTGTACCCATTAACAGTAACCTCCCACTAATCTCTGTCTCTATGGATTTACCTACCCTGGATGTTTTCTATAAATACAATCATACAGTATGTGGCCTTTTAATCCTATATAATAAAAGCCTAATATGCAAATCGACTGAACGGCGGGACAACCGGTCGCTATGACACACACTGACCACCAGGGGGCAGACACTCAACACAGGAGCTGCCCGCAGGCGGCGGTGGGGGTTAGGGCCGGCGAGCGGGTGGCGCCAGGCCAGCCAAGGCAGGTGCCAGCAGGGGTCCCTCAATCGCCCCACTGGTCACCACACAGATCAGCCCTGATCGCCCACCAGGCCTAGGGACCCTACCTGTGCACAAATTTCATGCACCGGACCTCTAGTGTACACACACACACACACACACACACACACATATCTGTGTATATGTATGTATATATATATATATTTTTTTTTTTTTATTGATTTCAGAGAGGAAGGGAGAGGAAGAGAGAGATAGAAACTTCAATGATGAGAGAATTATTGATTGGCTGCCTCCTGCTGGCAATCTGGGCACATGTGCCCTGACCAGGAATCAAACTGACCTCCTGATTCATAGGTCAACGCTCAACCACTGACCCATGCTGGTTGGGCAGTATGTGGCCTTTTGTGTCTGGCTAATGTCTTCAAGGTTTATCCATGTTGTAGCAGTAACAGGACTTTATTCTTCTTTGTAGCTGAAGAATATTCCATTGCTTAGATACACCACATTTTGTTCATCCAGTCAGCCAGTGATGGCTGTTGGGTTCCCACCTTTTGACTGTTGTAAGCAAAGCTAGTATAAACATTAGTGAATGGGTTTTGTGTGAACTTATCTTTTCAGTTCTCTTGGTACATTTCTAGGAGTGGAATTGCTGAGTCATAGGGTAACTCGATAAATTTAAATTGTTGAAAACTGCCAAAGTGTTCTCCAAAGCAGCTGTACAATTTCACAATGTACAAGGGTTCCAATTTCTCCACATCCTCACCAGCACTTACTACTTTTCTTTTTGAAAAAATTACAGCCATATTCTTAGTGAGGGTACAGTTGCACCTCATTTTGGTTTTGATTTACATTTCCCTAATGACTAATGATTTGAGTATCTTTTCATTTGCTTGTTGGCCACTTGAGTGTCTTCTTTAGGAAAATGTCTATTCAAGTCCTTTGCACATTTTTAATTGGATTATTTGACTTTTTGTTGTTGAATTGTAAGAGTTCATTATATATTCCAGATATTAGACCCTTATCAGACATGATTTGCAAGCATTTTCTCTTTAAGTCCTTTTTTACTTTCTTTTTTATTTTAATAAATTTTTTATTGATTTCAGAGAGGGAGAGAGACATAAAAACATCAATGATGAGAGCTGCCTCCTGCACACCCCACATTGGGGATTGAGCCACAACCTGGGCAAGTGCCCTGACTGAGAATCAAACCGTGACCTCCTGGTTCATAGGTTGACAGTCACTGAACCACACCAGTTGGGCTACAATTGTCCTTTATAAAACCGCATTCCCTTCCCCTGCAGTCATCCCTGTCTTTTTTTTAAATTAAAATATAGTTGGTGCCTTGGCTGCTGTACTCAGTGGTTAGAGTGTCGACCCACGCACAGAAGTGTCGTAGGTTTGATTCCGGGTCAAGGGCACATTACCTGGGTTGCAGGTTCAATCCCCAACCAGGGTGCATTCAGGAGGTAAACAATATATCTCGTTCACATTGATGTTTCTCTCTCTCTCTCTCTCTCTCTCTCTCTCTCTCTCTCTCTCTCTCTCTCTCTTTCCTCCTCCCCTCCTCTCCCTCTCTCTCCCACTCTCTCTATAAAGTCTATGGAAAAAATATCCTCAGGTGAGGGTTAACTCATTATATATTATATATATATTATATATTATATACAGTGGGGCCTTGACTTACGAGTTTAATTTGTTCTGAGACCGAGCTCGTTAAGGAGCTCGTTAACTCAAATTACTCTACCAACTCGATGCGAAAAATCGGCCGAGAGACAGCTGGTATCTCAAAAAACTCGTTAGTCGGGACACTCGTAAGTCAAGGCCCCACTGTATATATATATTAACTAAAGGCCCGGTACACAGATTCGTGCACATTGAAAGGAAATTAATTAGCAGGTGGCTGGCAGGACAGGACTGGGCAAGACGGGCTGGACACGCCCTGGAGCCAACCTCTCACAGTCCCTCCCCGGCCAGCCACATCTGGGGCGGCGCCAGGGCTCAAAGGGCATCTGTGGAGTGAGCGGGGTCCCTCTGGCAGGTGGGGTCCCTCGGCCTGGCCTGCAGGGATTGGGCCAAAACTGGCTCTCCGACACCCCCGGGGGGTATGGATTGTGAGAGGGCGGTTCTCGGGTGATGCACCCCAGAATCGGGCTCCCTCCTCTCTGGTTCCAGGTGCGTCACCCAAGAACCACGGCTGCCAAGTCACCACAGCTACTGCATTGAGTGTCTGCCCCCTGGTGGTCAGTGCACATCATTGCCACCAGTCGGACGGTTGCTTAGACTTTCATATCTATATATATAAAAGGCTAATATGCTAAGTGTCCAACCATCCGGGTAATGACCTCACGTAGCAACATCTGGCTTCCTCTCCTTAGCGACTAGCTCAGCCGTGGGCAAACTACAGCCCACGGGCCGGATGCAGCCCGTTTGAAATGAATAAAACTAAAAAAAAAAAGACCGTACCCTTTTATGTAATGATGTTTACTTTGAATTTATATTAGTTCACACAAACACTCCATCCATGCTTTTGTTCCGGCCCTCCGGTCCAGTTTAAGAACCCATTGTGGCCCTCGAGTCAAAAAGTTTGCCCACCCCTGGACTAGCTCCTTGCAGTTTCTTCAGCCCAGGAACCCGATTTGCTTTATAGCCAGGTGCAAACATTTATACTTGAATCCTATTTTCTTTTCATTAGCTGGAAAATGGAGATTTAGAAAGCTTAGAAACTTGACCCGACTGAAAAGAAGTAAGAAATGGTGGACCTTGAAAATGACTTCAGGTTTTCTCACTTCGCAGAATATAGTCAAACACTGCTGCCGTTAAATTTTTTACCCTTTGTTCTCCCTGTGTGATCTATAATAATAATCTGCTTCATGTTGATATTTACTGCTGTGTTGCTGACAATTACCTGAAAGAGAAGTTGGGGTGCTTCATTGGGCTGGAAAAAGTTTAGCTACATCAGAAAGCAGGTCTAATTAAGCAAGTTTATTCTATATCTATGAAAGGCTAAGTTGACTTGCGTATGCGTGATATATATAAAGCTGTTGCTGGCGCCAATCGCATGCGTGTGTTTCCGTCTGTCATTGTCAATCGTGAATTTGGTTGACACTTCTATTATAGAGAAAGGGCAAATAGCGATATTAAAATATTCTAATTAATTTCCTTCCAATGTGCACGAATCCATGCACCAGGCCACAAGTACCTAGATAGTTAACTATATGTATTATATTAGTTTCAGGTGTACGATATAGTGATTTGACAGTTATATACCTTACACTGTGTTCATCACACTGAGTCTAGTAACTATCTGTCACCATGCCAACTTACCACCATTGTTGACTCTATTCCCCTTCACCTTCTCACCCCTCCCCTCTGACAACCATAAGTTTATTCTTTGTTTCTGAATCTGTTTCTGTTTTGTTTTGTTTGTTCTGCTTTTTAAAAAAATTCCACATATCAGTGAAATTAAGTATTTGTCTTTCTCTGTCTTATTTCATTTAGTATAATACCTTCTAGGTCCATCTATGTTGTCTCAAATAGCAAAATTTCATTCTTTAATTGCTGAGTAATATTCCATTGTGTATATATACCATATCCTCTTCATTCGTCTATCCATGAACACCTGGTTGCTTCCATAGCTTGGCTATTGTAAATAATTCTGCAGTGAACATAGTG